GGCATTGAAATTCGAACAATACGTTATTTCAATGATTTTGGGTTTTTTTGAGACACCCTGTACAGGGTGTATAAAAAAAACGCAACCTCGGAATTTCCTAAGAAATCACTTTGCAATTCTTAAGCATAAAAGATTTTAGGCCACTGGGAATTGAAATCGAATTGCTAATAGATCATATCACTGTTGTTGTGAATTAAATAAATGCATAAATTTTGCTTTATGCACTCGCGTGTGCAGTAATTTTGACAGTTATGCTATTTTAAATTCCCAGGCGCTTAAAATCTTTTGTCTTTAAAACAATGTCGATTTCTTGGGAAATTCCGAGGTTGCGCTTTTTTTGATACACCCTGTGATCTTCACCAATTAAGACGCTTGACCAATTTACTTGTGAAAGAGCTGTTTCGAATTTTAACAAATTCCGTTCGCATAATCTCTCTTATAAATTACTTCATTTTCTCGACGTGTGGGCGAGTCCTTTTTAAAATATGCAAACACAGGGAAATGATCTGAAATGTCATTAAGGATTAATCCATTCAATGTGTTTTGTTGAAAACAATTTGTGAATATATTATCAATAAGGGTAGCTGAATGAGATGTTACACGGGTCGGTTTAGTAATGAGAGGAATAAGCATGTGTGAAAACAAGGAATCAAGAAATTCTTGTGTAAAGCGGTGACTATCATAATGAAGTAAATCTAAATTGAAATCTCCCATAATATAACAATGTTTGTTATCTTTAGTGATAATCGATAGTATTTTGTTGATTTCCTCTAGAAAAGATGCGATATTTTAGTTTGGTGGTTGATAAATCGTACCTACTATAGAGTTTTTACCATTAGGATTAATAATTTCAACAAACAAAGACTCAATTACCTCAGGATTGGAGACTGTGCAGTTACCAATTTGTTTATACTGAAAATGGTCCTGTAAATACAGACCGATCACCCCACCAGCTTTATTTATTCTATGATTGGAAATGAAATCATAGGCCGGGAATCAACCTGATTAAATGTTTCATCATTCAGCCAAGTTTCAGATAAACCAATGATAGAAAATGTAGTATCCGAATTTGGAGTTAAAGTTTTAAACCTGTCAAAATTACCAAGCAAGCTACCACAGTTCAAATGAAGGAAAGAAAAATTAAAGCTATTTTGCGGTTCACTGGCTAGGTCACGAATTTCACTTTCTACCACATATTTGCTAGCGGGCGGTGAACATGTATAGAAATTTTGATCTGGATCATGATCTGTTATTGGAAAATTGTCTATTACTAAATTCAAATCTTCCAACGGGTTCGGCATGTGAGTACGTTGTCTAGCGGGCACACGATGAGCTATATCTATGTCATATTCTGAGATATCTGTCGCCCCAGTAGCGTGAAATAACTTTACACACAATGCCGTAGTTTCTTCTGCAGTTTCTGCTTCACGTTGTTGTGGGACACCAGTAATCTTAAGATTGTACTGATAGCTATACTCTTCGGCTTGCTCGATTGCATTTGCAATATTCTCACGCTTTTTCGATATTACATCAATCTGTGATTTGATTAGCTTCAGATCCTTCATAGAGCTTTCTTTAAATTTAGCGAAGACATCATATTGATCAATAATAACTGTATAGATTTCTTTTCGGATTCATTCAAAGATTTGGTTTGTTCAGCAAGATGGCCGCTTTCTTGTTCGACATATTTGTCGATTTTCTTGTCAAAATCTTTAGTAACCTGACTTATTTTCACGTTTAATAGAGCTATTTCTTCTTTCAATTCAGAATTTTCCTTTTTTAATGTTCCAAGAAAACTGCTCTGTAGAATTTTTTTAAATTTCGAAATATTAAAAATCGCGACTTTCAGGTTAGATACACAAAAAAATTTAAAAATTCACCTTAAGAAATGAAAGTTAGTCTCGCGCGCCATCTCTTCGCATTTTTATTTACTGAATTATTAGTGCTCGCTGGCGGTTTGTTCGAAGTATTGCACGATAGCAAGCAAAATTCTCTTCGATTTTGTCAGTCTTGGCTTTTTGGATCCACGATTGTTTGTCGGCGGGCTAGGCAGAACTCCAATCAGCCCATTCCTGCCAAACTTATCAAACAGACTTTGTAAATTCGCGAAGCTCAAGCCACTGCTGGCGATTTTCTGGACCATGCTTTTGGTGATTGTTCCATGCAATTTGGTGTCGAGTGTCTGGACAAGTTGATGTCGTTGGTCTAGATACAGATTGTCCTGGTAAGCTTCGTCAAATGGAATTGCTTGACAATGTGTAATCAGATCTTTTTCCGAAAGGTTTAACGGCGAGGAGAACAGAATACGACCGTGATCAAACAGAGCCTTGTAAACAGCAGACTGGTTTAACGCACAGGTACAATCCTGGCCAAAAACTTTGTGGACAGTACAAAATTGTCGCAAATTATATAATACATTTAGATATATTGCATAATATCTGTCAAACCCCCACACCCCCATCTCAATGTTGCAGTCCAATATGATATATACAGAGTTGCCGAAGCGAAAACGATTTCAACATTGTTTTGGGGGAGTGGGGGCGTAAGTTATAGCATTAAATCCATCCTAAACGCATATGAGCCTACCTGTCCACATGATTTTGGCCAGGATTGTAATTTATTCTTCAATGTGTTAACCTGATTAAAGTCTTACGGTTAATGTAATACACAGTTTGGGAAAGGGCGTATATCTCAAATCCCCACGGTCTACACATAAAATGTGCTATTCTTGAATATTAATGAGATCTTGCTAAATTGTTATTAAGGCTAATCTATTTGTGTGTAGACCGTCGTAAAATTTTCATTTTTGTATATATCAAGTTGTTGCTACCTTATAACAAACTATTTGAATTTAAGCTAAATTCTAACGTTAAAAACATCGTTTTATGTTTTAATAATTTGTTATTTTGAAAGGCTATAATTTTTGTAGACCGTCGCACGTAGACCGTCACACAACAATCTGTACTACAGTACTATATACCTGTATCTATATATAGCACATGCCGTTTGTTTCGTTTTAGATATAATTAGAATCTCAGTTGCTGGTGGGAAACTATAACTTTTAATACACGTTAAAAATGAAATATACACACAATCCATATTTAAAGTTTTTCATGTTATTTCGTTGATATCATAAATGTTTTTAGTTTACAAATAAAGTTTGATTATAGTTTGAAATACATGGAAATATAGATACATAATTATATGGTTTCTACTTATATATTTCTATTTGCATTAACGTTAGTGGTACCTATGAGTATTTCAAATTAACCTCGTATATATCATGGAAATCTTAGACATATTTACATAATTAATACTTAATTCGCTTACCCTTCGATGCTAATATAGCCTCGATGCGTTTAGGCATACTCTCAGTTGTGCGATCTAAAATGCTCATATCTACATTGTCAAAGCAACGCAAAACTCTATTCTTAAACTCATCGAAACTTTCTTTCCTTATTTGTAAGTCAATAGCTTCTTTTTCCGGACTAGTTTTAACAATATGAAACACATTTTCGATAGGGTTTACATCGGGTGAGCGTGCTGGGATTTGATGAAGTTCACATTCAATTTCTTTTAAGGCAGACATTGCCTTTTTGCTTGTCTGGGATGGATCATTGTCCATTACGAATAGACGCTTTCTATCAGCTTTAGGACCGGCTTTTCCAAAGCACAAATTAAAATGATTCTTTATAAAGTTATAGAAAAATGTTCCGTCCATTTTGTCACACGGTTCTTTCAGGATAACTCCTTTGCCATGCGCTATAGCAACGACCAAATGAAGACGTTTCCCGCCAGGCAAGCTTTTGCTACCCTTTGCTGTCAATG